TTTTTTTTTTTTTGGTACCAGGGATTGAACTCAAGACCTTGGGCTTGCAAGGCAGGTGGCAGAACCACTGAGCTAAATCCCTGGCCCAATTATATTTCTCTTCTCCACCCCCCCCCCTTTTTTTGGTACCAGGGATCAAACTCAGGACCTCACACTTCTGAGGCAGGCACAGCACCACTGAGCTAAATCCCTGGCCCTCTATGCCCCCTTTTTGTGAGACAGATTCTCCTTAGGTAGCCCAGACTCTGCTTGAATTTAAGATTCTCCTGGGTCAGCCTCCTAAATGCTGGAATTATAGGTGTGCACTACACACAGCTGTTTCCCCTTGACCCAACCTTTGCCCTCTGTATTTAATGTATCAGTGAAAAAGAAGAGAGTCTACATTAGAAAAAAATGAGTGAGTTAAAAAAAAAAAAAAAAAAGCTGCCTGTGTTGGTACAGAGGTAGGAGGATCACAAATTCTGGGCCTAGTCTGGGCAATTTAGCAATTTAGGGAGACCCTGTCTCAAACAGTTTTTTTTTTTTTAAAAGACCATGGATGTGATATAACGTAGTGCAAAGGCCCTGGATTTGATCTCTCATACCAAAAAGAAAAAAAAAGAAGAGAGAGTGTTGCTTGTTTTTTTTGTTTTGGAGTACCCGCAGTCAAACCAAGGGCTTCTCACTGAGTTATATCATAGCCCTTCTTATTTTTTTATTTTGTATCAGAATCTTTCTAAGTTGCCCAGGCTGCATTCATATTTGGGATCCTCCTGCCTTAGCCTCCCAAATGCTAGGATTACAGATATCGCCATCACACTTGGCTCAAGGAATTTTAACTCCAAATCTAGTACTCTATCCAGAAAGACCAGTTCTGCCAAGTTTGAATCTAGCCAGGGCAACTTGGGGAGATACTGTCCCAAACAAAATAAATAGGGCTAGAGATGTAGCTCAGTAGAGAGAGAGAGCTGGGTATAGTTCTGTGGCAGATGCTTGCCTAACATATTAAGCCCTAGGTTCCATCCTTAGCAAGAGAGAGAGAGAGAGAGAGAGAGAGAGAGAGAGAGAGAAGGGAGGGCGGGCTGTGTTTTCCATAATATTTTATGAGAACAGCATAATTCTCATACCAAGACCTGAAGAAGACATCAGAAAGTTAAAGACCAGTATCAAATATGAATACAGACATAAAAGTCCTTAACAGAACTGGGGATTTAGCTCAGTGGCACCATGCCTGCCTTGGAAGCGCAAGGTCCTGACTTCAATCCCTGGTAACCCCCCCAAAAAAATCCTTAACAAAACACAAATCAAATTCAGCAAATGTAGTTTATCCTAGAAATACAAGATCGGCATAATGACCATGCTTTCAGAGGCATACAAAGTGGAATGAAATTCACATTACCAGAACAAGGGAGAAAAATCATATGATCGTGGCAGTAGATGCAGAGAAAGCATTTGACAAAATTCATTGTCCATTCATGGTACCAGCTCTCAGCACACTGAGAGAAAGAACATCCTTGATCTGATAAAGACCCCTCCAAACTGGCAGCTCAGGGGTGAGATAGGAAATGCTTTCCCCCAAGACTGGAAACAAACATGGGTGTTTGTTCTTGCTGTTTCTTTTCAGTCTTGTCCTGGAGATCTTAGCAAGTGTACTAAGATGAGAAAAGGCATAAAAGGCATAAAATGCAGAAAGGTGGGAATAAAAATAAAACATGTTGCCTCACAAATTATGACTCCATTCATAGAAAACTCTCAAAGATCTGCCACAATAAATTACTAGAGCTAGTAAGTGAATTTAGCAAGCTCAATATAAGTTTCATTACTATATATTAGTAAGAAACACTTAGAAAATGAAAATTTTGGGGTTTTTTTCTTTGAGATGGGGTCTCACTATATAGTTCAGGCTGGCCTTGAACTCACTAGCCAAAGCTGGCCTTGAACTCACAGAGATCCTCCTGACTCAGCCTCTTGAGTGCTAGAATTATAGGTGTATGCTACCACCACGCTCAGGTTAGAAAATGAAACTTTAAAAAAATTCCATTTATAGGACAAGAGAGGGGAAATAAAAAGAATTTAGATGTGTTATGTGAATATACCACCCCCTTACAATGAATGCAGTCATTATTACTGATACATGTACTAATAAAAATTATTAAAAAAATTTTTCCCATTAAGTTTATTGGTACATTTTAGGTATAAAATACAGTTACATTCATCATTGGGATCTTGTACCATTACATGAGTATC